GTGTGCCTGTTATCCACTTGGTATTGCTCATTAGCTCGTTGTGAACATTGGTCGGTTGATCGGCGCGAATCATGCCTTTTGTCTCGTTTAGGTCGATTCCGCCGCTCGGGGCTTCTTGGAGGCACGAAGCTAATCGGCTGGACAACTCCCGACGTGGCCGTCTCACCGGCTTTACGTCTGGCTTTGACTCGAAGGGCATCGTCCTCCACTTTGCAGTATTCTTCAACTTTCTTCATTAATGCCCAGACGGTTTTGGGGGGATGCCTAGTCAATGAATTGCGGAGGGGGCTGTCAGGATGCAATCCCATCTTAAAGGCGGTGATGGCCCTGGAATCATTGCAAGTATCATCAACTAGATTAAAGCATTCCCAATAACGGGCCGAGTATTCACGAAGAGTTTCTTCCGGTTTAATTTGCATGGCCCACAGAGAGTCGGCTTGCTTCGACTGGACCTCATTGGTGATGAATCTTGCCTTGAATGACTTTTAGAGTTGGTGGAAGTTCTTAATTGATGCCGGCTCCAATTTATAGTACCATCTCACGACTAGCGGTCCTAGATTGCTTGGAAATATCTGACACATGAGGGCTTTGTCATCAGCATGGAGCGTCATCACTTGCTTGTAATGACGAATGTGATCAGTGGGGTCTGATTTTCAGTCCTAAAGGGTGAACGACGGTGCCTTGAACTTCTTCGGTAGCACAGCCCTGGCAATTCATCGCACGAATGGGTCGTGTTTATCTTCCTCATCCGAATCATCGTTTTTCCTTCGTCTATATCGTACATATGGACTTCTCTCAGACAAGCTGAATACATCAACGCGCCCTTTCTTTCTAGGCTCTGAGGATAATAAATTTGAATCACTATCACTATTACATTTCTGAAGTCGACGTCGGCGACCATCCTTCTTTCTCGAAGGTTGACCCCGGTCTTGGCATGCAGCTTGTTGGGTTTCTTAGCCAACACGTTCTCCAGCCGCTGTTCACTTTGCTTTGCCTGATCCATAATCGTCTGCATTGTCTCATGCATTGAAGTTGAGGGTGATGTCTGAGCTACTGAGTCAAAGTTCAAGTCACGTCGCGCGGCGATATTCTCCGGTCCCAGCATATTTCTTGGAGTGAGTCGTCTCTTGGTGCAGTTTCGTCAGCGACTATCGGAGGATCTTCCGTTACGCCCGCCATGGATGTATTTGAGTGTTCACACAGACAGCGCTGATTGTGGTGAAGTGGTTTGGAAATACTCTTGGATCGTGAAGGACGTTCCTGATCCTCTGATTGCCACCTGAAAAAGGATTAACACTCCGATCGGGGATGTCGGAATTAGTACTTCGATAGACAAGTCGGTATATGTCTCACGTTTGCTTATGTCTTAAGTTTCTTGGGGTTATCTCTCACATATCTTTCTTTGACTGTCGTTTCTCTATTTATATTCGCTTTTGAGCCTCAGGGTCGGGCCCACTCTTAATCCATCGTGTAATTGTTCTCTTGGCCCCCCTTTTGTCGTATGCCAATTCCCACTCGGCTCCTCACTCAACTGGTTCTATGGCAGATTAGAATATTCAGCATCTTGAACGTACAAGACGAGGCCGAATATAATATATATATCCTGATTTTCGAAGTGTGTATTCGGTCTATCTGCATCCCCTGACATTCGGCTCCCACAAAAATGAGTATTTATTTTATTATTTTATAATTTAATATATATCATACAAAATTATTGTATGATAATTACACTTTTATAATATGATAAAATTAAAATATCAAAATACACACTCGGCCAATCACCACATACTTTGGAACTATGCTTTCCTTCAGATTCCACTTGGTTCTCATATTACATCCCGAAAAATGCTTGAGAGTCCCACTAATTAGGTGGCAGTGGGTCTCGTCATTAATAATGTGATGTTTTGATTTTGAAGTTGTATTTTTTTTTTTTTAAAATACATTAGTACTATTAGTAGTGATATTTTTAATGGGATGAATCATTGTTGATTATATCCCCACCAACCATTGGACAACTTTTGACATTTCGTCATGTCACATCATCAGCAGCCGACCATGTAGTACATTTTTGTTTTCATGTCACCCATGATAATTAGAAAAATGGTTAAAAACACGTAAAGTGATGCTTTACATGATAATTAGAAAAATGGTTAAAAACACGTAAAGTGATGCTTTAATAGTACCAACAATAATATAATAGTGGATTCCGTTTATTATTTATGCCTTGTTGGTTTTTTTTTTTTTTTTTTTTTTTTTTTAAAATGCCACATTGGAATTGAAAAAAGTGAATCATACTAGGCATTTTAACTAACAACTATTATATGCCTAGTGCATTGGAGATGCTCTTATTAGTAATCTTTTTTTAGTAATATGAATTATTATTGTAATAATTATTTCTAATAATGTATTGATCAGTGTCAAATTTTAATTTGTTTCGTTTGGGAATGTGATTTGGGGCTAAAATAGCCACAAAAGATAAAATAAGCTATTTTAGCTACAATAAACAAAGCATCACATTCAACCCATAATCATTGCACTCTTTTCTCACAAAAAAAGTTAAAAAACCAAAAAACCCTTCCCAAATCAAACTTTTTAGCCCAAACTAAAATAACCACAAAAATCAAAAAGTTAAAAAATTAACTCACTTCTCAAACCAACTCTAAGCATTTTATAATGCGAGACTTATATCAATATCACATTATTAAGGACTATTTAAGGGTAATAAATTAAAAGTATGTAAGAGCATCCTTATCAATCTATCTAAATTTTGTCTTAAAATATTTTTATTTTTGGTGTTTGGATAAAGTTATATATTTGATTGATGTGATTTATTATTAATATAAATATTATTGTACATTTTGCTCATAATATTTTTATTTTTTATCTTAAAAAGTAAATTAATTTAAGTTTTTTTTTTTTTCAAACTCGAGCTTGAACTCAGCTTGTTTATGTAATCGAGTTGGCTCGAGTCAAAATCGAGTTTACAAAATATTTGATGAGTTGAGATCGAACTCAATTATTTAAACTCGAGTTAAGTTTGGATCGATCTCAAACTCAAGCTCGACTAATTATTAATAAATAAATTTAAACACTCAAAAATTTAACTCGTTTGTAGATCTACCTTGCTATACCATGTTCTCATTTTAGTTATTCAAATTTTAATTTTATCACTTATCTTATTAAAATCTTTAATTTCAATGGAAAACTAACATAATAATTAATAAGGGCAAATTACATATACCCCTCGAGGTTTGGCTAAATTACAGATACCCCCTTGAGGTTTCGGAAATTACATCCCGCCCCCTGAGGTTTGTATTTTCATAACAATTTGTTCTCTGAGATTTATATTTCATAACAAATTACCCCCTAATTTCTTATGCAAATATAGCATTCAGGGGGGAATTCGTAATTTCTCAAACCTCAGGGGTATATGTAATTTAGCCAAACCTCGAGGGGTATATGTAATTTGCCCTAATAATAATAATAATAATAATGTTTTGTTTGAGTTTTTTGGATTAAATTTTTTGAAAATTGAGTCTTTTCGTTTTCGTATTTTTTTGTTTTCAGTGAATATTTTTAAAATTTTAAACAATTTTTTTACTTTTTTAGATACACCTTACTTAGATGTATCTAAAAAGTAAAAAATTTGTGAAAAAAAAATTTAAAAAATTAATAAATACATAAAAATATTTAAAAAAAACGTACTGAATTTTCATATTTTTTGTATTTTTGGTATTTAGTGAATTTTTAAGAGGATTTTTTCACAAATTTTTCACTTTTTAGGTATATTTATGTTAGGTATGTCTAAAAATTAAAAAAAATTACCTAAAATATTAAAAAAATTAGCGAAAACAAAAAACAAGAAAAATAATAAAATAAAATTTGCCTCAACCAGAATTTACCAAATTTGACTCACAAAGAAACATCCAACATTCAAGTACTGTTCTTACACACACCCTTTAGATACGAATTTTTTATTAAATTAGCTTAGCTGCAAACAACACCCAAGTTTCAAGTACAGTAGTCTTGTACATACTTGATGTGTTCACAGCATCATGTTACAACAAAAGGCTCTATGGATCGGCATAGTTTCTCAGGCAGAAGCAGAAGCCTTGCAGTTGGGTAGGTCTTTTTCAACATTAGGAGGGATCCTCAGAATCGGATTGTTCTCAAAGAAGTTGACCGGTTTTAGATCGAAGCTCGAAGATACAGTCGGCATGATTGGGAAGTCCTCTTGACATGGCACGTGATGAAAGCCTAAAGTGTACCACAGCACGATGTCCTTGTTCTCAATTGGCCGATCCCTGCAAAATCAATCCATTTTGTTCAACTCTCTTAGCTATTTTGGCTGTCAATTTTGAATTGAACCTACTCAAACAATGAGTAATCAAATTGAATTGTGAAACAATGGAGTCATGTCATGTATTTTTTACTACTTTATTGTGTTTTTAATATGTATTCATACAGCAAACTGTTGCAGTAACTATATTTTGGTATCATATTTGACTACTATGTGAGGTGTTATATATGTAATAAGCACAAACATGTGATGGCTCAACATTAATGTTGGTGCTTCCTAAGATTTTGTTTGGGTATGTGTATTGGGTTGGGATTAAATTAGTTATTAAAAGATAAAATAGATTAAAAAATTAATAACATAAAATTGGGGTGTTTGGTGTGGATTATGAGGGTGATTATACCTTATTTTAATTTAGGAATCTGTGCCAGACTGTTTGATACAGCTTCTGCTTACAGCTTTTAGGCAGAAATAACTTAAATAAATTGAGAAAAATTAATTATTTAAAAGCTGGGAAATGAGTACTTTTTTTATTTCTACTTTCCAATTATCAACTTTTAACTTACAATAAGCTGTACCAAACAGCACTAATATCACATTTAAATTATAATCATTTTACATTTTTTCTCACAAACATCCACAAAAAAAAAAAAAAAAAAAAAAAAAAAAAAAAAAAAAAAAAAAAAAAACAAAAAAAATTTTTTTCTGAGGAGGATCCTCAGGATCTAGCAAGCTAGCGGCCGTGCCAGCAGGAACGAGCTTGTACCCAACCGGATTCCCAACCCGTGTCTTCTTAGACGGATTGATCACGTGGAATTCAGATGGGTCATAGAGCTTGAACTTAACCTGGGCGTCCTTCTCAGTCCTGGCCACATTCCTCACAGCTTTCATGTAGCTCCTACGAGGGGTCTCCGCCGGGGAGGTCTGTTCCCTTTTGAGATTGACATTCACGAAGGAATTGTCAGTGCCATCGACGTCCATGTCAAGGTGGAATGTGACGTAGTGGTCATGGATGATGCCGATCACATTTTCGGACAAAAGGGTGCCATAGAGGTTTTCTTGTTGGTTCACTTGGTTCATGTTCACATAAGGAGAGCCTTTCACCATGAGGATACCACTAAGTCCAACCTGCCATCATATACCAAAATTTAGCAATAAAAATAGTACTAACACATCTATTTTTAAATCAAAAATGTATAGAAATAACGAAATTTTTCAGTGATCAAATATATAGAGCAATATTAAGAATACAACAAATCTTTTCATTTCGCAACATTAGTTTTTAGTTTAAAAATTAAAAAATTATTAAAAAAATTAAAAAATCAACAATTTATATTAAAAAATTAAAAAAAAATTTATTTTTACCTTTTACACATATTTTCGTAACAAATTAAAATATCATTCCAAACATACTAGTTTTTTATATCATATTTTAATCAAAAAATTAAAAAATTACTAAAAAAAATTGTTTCCAAACGAGCCCAAGTGTCAAGATTATTTTGTATATATAAAAATAAAAATAAAAATAAAAAAACAGTAATACAAACTATATTCCAAATTCTATCCAAGAACATATATGTCATTCAGATTTATTTCATAGATCCATATGTTTGAGATCTTTGATTTATCCATAAAAGAAAGAAGAAAAAAAAATGAGTGATTAGCATTTTTGTAAAAAACAAATTGTACAAAAATATTTATCTAGAAAATCATTTTTCATTATGCATAATTTTTTTTTTATTATTATTATTAATGTTTATATTGTCACTGGAGATAATGATTTGAGAGCACAAACCTTGACTCTGATTAGTCCATCTGTTTGGAACTCCCAATCTACGATATAATCATAATTTGCGACTGACGCTGCCATTCTCACCACTAACGTCACCTTCGGCCTCACCTCTCTAATCTGCCCACCAAAAAAAACAATGATGTCTTGGAGTTTTTTTTTTTTTAAGTTTTTTAGAGTGGTGTATTGTATAGTTGAGATTTAATAACAAGTCATATTAATTTTTTAACATTAAATTTCATCTATACAATACATCACTTTAAAAAACTTTAAGAAAAAAAAACTCTAGAAAATCTTTGGTAACCAAAAAATTCAAACAAAATTAAAAAAATAAAATTAACAAAGCGAAACCAAATTTGAGGACTTTCCCTAAAGTTGTAAGTTGAGAAGTAATACACAAATCAAACACGTACCTAATTAAACACTAACAATACAATGCGTGCGTAATTAAACTAACAATATAAAAATATTCCTACATAATTATCCAACAAAAATTTACATTAAAATATTTTATTTGTTTGAAAAAATAAATTTTCCTTGCTTTTTAAAACTATGTCACTGCTTTTGTTTTATTTTTCATATTTAGAACCACTTACTAGGGTCACATTATTCGGACTCAAATAATGTGATCAATTTTTTTACCTCCATGCCCGTGATCGGACTCTCCGCGTGCCGCCACCCGATATCACCTGCATATCTCTCGAACACGCAAATCATGTTGGATCGGACGTACGGTGTTCCATCCCCAGCCGCAAACACACCATCCATATAATAGGCATTCCGCGGGCAATCATTAAGCGGGTCAAGTGGCATGGCCTGCAACCCGAACCCGTATTCACCCGCATCCATATACGTCTTAAAATACCATGCATCAGTGGGGTCCATGTAGGGCACGAACAACTCCGAACTAAACCCCTTGTACATCACATTCCTCATCTCCCCGGTTCCCGGGTCCCGAACCATAGCCCGAGAAATGATCACTCCAGCTCTCGGGTCGGGTTTTAAATGAAATTCCCAGTTGGCCCATTTAACCAAGTGATCCTCTATCGTAAAGCTCGGACCCTTGGGTTGTTCAATGGATATCGGGTTCAGTAGGTTCATTTGTTGTTGGGCGTTTATTGTGGAGAAGCGATAGTCTGTATCGGCGGCTTTGGGGATTGGTATGTTCCTTCCTTCATCAGAGATCTGGATGACTTCTTTAGTGTCCATATCAAGCAGCACTGTGAGCCCTTCGATAGGCCTCATGTAGAAGTTTGCAGTGCCCTTCATGGAGAAGCACTGTACCTTAATCAACCTCCGGTTCTCCTCACTTTTACCGAACCACCCGGTTGCAATCGGTAAGCAAGCGAGGTCCGTCAAATCAATCCCTCGCTCGATGATCGTACGGTTGAAATCGGCGTTCGCGAGTGGAGCCAAAGTGGCAGAGGTCATGTCCTCTATAGTCATCATCGGGTACCCGGAGAGTGGACCCGGCTCTATTCGGGTCACCTGACTCATGTCGATATTGAGGGTTAGCACATGCGATACGCCGTTGACACGTGCGACGACGGAGGCTTCACGTGGGGGAAGAGGGTCGCCCTTTTGCCAGGTGAGGACGAGTGGCTTGGGGGCCTCTTGGAGAACTATGGAGTGGAGCGCGTAGGGTGAGGATTTGAAGAGCGCGTGGGAAGAGAGGATGGTGCGGATTTTGTTGAATTCCTGGACGGTGAGGGGGTCGAGGGGGTGATGGGGCACGGCGGAGTGGTGGTGGCGCGTGGGATTGGGGGGGTCTTGGAGGAAGTGGGGTTTCAGGAAGCGGTTCTTGGAGGTGCACCATGTGGAGGTGCAGTCGAGTAGCTCCGCCTTGTCGGGCGTCGCGTAGGGGAGGTTGAACACCGTGAAGACGAGGAGGAGGAGGACGCCAAACATGAGAAACAAAAAACGGAGGAGGCTCTTTTCTTCCATTTCTCTCTCTCTCTCTCTCTCTCTCTCTCTCTCTTTCTGTGGTGCTTGTGTGGTTGCTGAACTGTGTTTATATACGGACTTAAATGCTAGGAGAGGAAAGTAGCCAAAATAAACAATAAAAAAAAGATGGCTACTTTGAATATTCAAAATGAATCTTACATATTTAATGAATTTAAAGAAACGAGAGAATCTTGTGTTGCGTTTGATAGAATTTTTAAGAATAAAATTATATTTTGAATTTATAAATTTAAGTAAATTATATAAATAGTCTTTATAGTTTGGATTTGTATCACTTGGTTCTTAACTTTTTAATTGTGACACATTTGATCATGAATTTTGAATTTTGTTCTAAATAAGGACAATTGAAGATATCATTAGATTTTCAATGGTAAAATTGTTAATTTGATAAAATATAAATTAATTTGACAAAAATAAATGTCAAACAAATATTTTTGAATTTTTAAAATTATTTCTACCTACTAAAAATAAAATTATTTAAAATTGATAAATCTTTTAGACATTTATTTATTTTTTATCAAATTAATTTTTATTATGTGTTTGGATAATGATCATGTAAAATTAATTTTAAAAATTAATCATGTAATTTTTATTAATTTTACATAATTTTATCATTGGTGGATAAAAATAATTTTTAAAAAATTAAAAATATTTTTTTGACATTTATTTTTGTCAAATTAGTTTAGATTTTATCAAATTGATGATTTTACCCTTGAAAAATCTAATAATATTTTCAATTGCCCTTATTTGGAACAAAATTCAAATTCATGATCAAATGTGTCACAATTAAAAAGTCAGGTACCAAAGTGACACAAGTCCCAAACTAGAGAGACTATTAGTGTAATTAACTATATAAGTTTTGTTAATGTATATATAGTATATATTCTTACATATATTAGATATTAATTTCTTTGATATATTAGGTATCAGACGTGTTACGTAGCCCGAATGGAAAGGGGCTCGACTGTCCCGAATTTTCAAATGACGTCGTTTGAATTTTTTTTTCCCATTTGCTTCTTCCTCCCCTCTCTTCTTCTTTCCCCCTCTCTACTCTGCTCCTCTGGAGCTCAAAATCAACAACTCAAAAAAATTAACAGAAAAATTTAACAAACCCAAAAAAAAAAAAAAAATTTATTAGTACAACCTGTACCCTGTATAAATAATATAATCCATCAACTCTAAATATATTATCAACCATTCAACAATTCAATAATGTGCACACATTTCACTTCCAAAAACCATCCAAAAAATTAATATTGAACGTCCAATTCTAAATATAATATAAATTCCATACGAACCAAGTCTAATCCAACATCAATAATTTAATTACATACATAATTGTCACGACCCAAACCCGCCCCTATGGGTTTAGCACTGTAACCGGCCAGTAATCCGAGATTACCAAAGGCCTGCTTAACAGTAATACAGTAAAATAGAGTACAAGAGCCTGACGGAAGTCAATATAGTAAATAAACAATGTCCAATGAGCTGTGACAGTCTGTATGTCAAAAAGACTTTTCATACATATATGCATGAACAGTACATAACAGTATGTACATATATACAATCATTCGGTTCAGGGACCTAATCCCTATAAAACAGTACAGTAACAGTCTATACAGTTTACAAAACAGTTACAGGGACGAACGGGGGAAAACTAAAACACCCTATAGCCTTAGCTTGACAGGCTCGGAACCTCGCAGTGAGGCACAGTGGTTGGCTTGACAAAACTGGAGCTTAACTCAGACGCTTCTAGCCGCGGTCTGGTGCCTGTACACCTACATATATATATAAGCAGTGAGCTAAAGCCCAGTGAATAACGTAATGCGTAAAGAGGTTAAGAATGAATGTCCTTACAGTAATGAAAACAGTTCATTAATTCAGTATATCAGTCATTCAATCATATGTGGTACATCCATTAGCATAACAGTACAGTAAACAGTAGGTCTTAAAAGACCGAACAGTAAATGATGCTAGGAGAGGAAAGTAGCCAAAATAAACAATAAAAAAAATATGGATACTTTGAATATTCAAAATGAATCTTATATATTTAATGAATTTAAAGAAATGAGAGAATCTTGTGTTGCGTTTGATAGAATTTTAAAAATATAGTTATATTTTGAATTTATAAGTTTAGGTAAATTATATAAATAATCTTTATAGTTTGGGCTTGTATCATTTGGTTCTTGACTTTTTAATTGTGACATATTTTATCCTAAATTTTGAATCTTATTCTAAATAAGGACAATTGAAGATATCATTAGATTTTTCAATGGTAAAATTGTCAATTTGATAAAATATAAACTAATTTGACAAAAATAAATGTCAAACAAATATTTTTGAATTTTTAAAAATTATTTCTAGTTACTAAAAATAAAATTATTTAAAATTGATAAATCTTTTAGACATTTATTTTTTTTATCAAATTAATTTTTATTATGTGCTTGGATGATGATCATGTAAAATTAATTTTAAAAATTAATCATGTAATTTTTATTAATTTTACATAATTTTATCATTGGTGGATAAAAATAATTTTTTAAAAATTAAAAATATTTTTTTGACATTTATTTTTGTCAAATTAGTTTATATTTTATCAAATTGACGATTTTACCCTTGAAAAATCTAATAATATTTACAATTGTCCTTATTTGGAACAAAATTCAAATTCATAGTCAAATGTGTCACAATTGAAAAGTCATGTATTAAAGTGACACAAGTCCCAAACTAGAGAAACTATTACTGTAATTAACCCTATAAGTTTTGTTAATGTATATATAGTATATATTCTTACATATATTAGATATTAATTTCTTAGATGTATTAGGTATCAGACGTGCTACGTAGCCCGAATGGAAAGGGGCTCGACTGCCCCAAATTTTCAAACGATGTCGTTCGATTTTTTTTTTTTCCCCGTTTTCTTCTTCCTCCCCTCTCTTTTTCCTTCCCCCTCTAGAGCTCCAAATCAACAAATCAAAAAAATTAACAGAAAAATTTAACAAACTAAAAAAAAACCATTATTAGTGCAACCTGTACCCTATATAAATAATATAATTCATCAACTCTAAATATATTATCAATCATTCAACAATTCAACAACGTGCACACATTTCACTTCCAATAACCATCCAAAAAGTTAATATTGAACGTCAAATTCTAAATATAATACAAATTCCATACGAACCAAGTCTAATCCAACATCAATAATTTAATTCCATACATAATAGAGGAATAACCAAATCTAATATCCAAAAGGACATATGTACCACACCAAAAATTTAATCTGTACCGCCCCAAAACTATTTTGTACCACGTCCTGTGCTAATTTCTACCATGTCAAATTTTAGATATTTACCCCACCAAAAAAGTAATTTGTACGAACCACTATATATATACGAATAGAGGTATAAAAACAAGACCCTTCCGTACTTGTCAAAAAAAGTCATATCCACATTTGTATGTCCAAAACCATCTGCCAAAAAAAAAAACAAACAAACAAATAAACAACAAAATTCATTAGTTTGGTGCCTATGGAGGCACTTATGGAGGATATATATAGTAACTGTGAAAGTGTTCAAACATTAAAAGACAAGGAGAGTAATAATGTGTGTTACAAAGACACCCAAACTCTCTGAGATTAAATAATACAAATATAGCCATAGATGGATTGGTAGACGAGCATCCATTCTATGAATTAATGTCAAAAGTTATGTTTATGACAATTAAAAGGGTCACAGTCAGCAAAAGCACTAAACTGAAACCTACAGGAATTTATGGCAAATAAAAGTTTAAAACAATTTATCAAAAATATTGTTTTACATAAACAAATAAGGAAAGAGTTAAACAAACTATAGTTTAAGATGGTATAACTAAAATAGTTATCCACGGCATGGGCATTTCATGTTCTGCCATATAAACACATTTTCGCCCCCCAAATGTCTTTTTTCGACTAATTTTATGACATTTTCAACTCTAACTCCCAACGTAGGTGTCCAATTTATGTACCGTCTGTCCCTACATGTCACATTTGGCACCAGGAAGCTTCTCGTTACATAAAAATAGCGGTTCGATAGCTGTTTTGCATTGTCGCCCCCCGAACGCTTTTTTTCGACTAATTTTATGACATTTTCAACTCTAACTCCCAACATATATGCCCTATTTACATACTGTCTGTCCCTACATGTCATATTTGGCACCAAGAAGCATCCCATTACATAAAAAAGGGGTTCGGTGACTGTTTTGCAATTTCGCCCCACGAACACCTTTTTTCGACTAAATTTATGACATTTTCAAATCTAACTCCCAACGTAGGTGTCCTATTTATGTACTGTATGTCCCTACATGTCACATTTGGCACTAGTAAGCTTCCCGTTATGTAAAAACAGTGGTTCGGGGACTGTTTTGCATTTTCGCCCCCTGAACGCCTTTTTTCGACTAATTTTATGACATTTTCAACTCTAACTCCCAACCTATGTGTCCTATTTACATATCGTCTGTCCCTAAATGTCACATTTGGCACCGAAAAGCTTCCCATTACATAAAATAGTGGTTTGGGGGCTATTTTACATTTTCACCCTTCGAACACCTTTTTTCGACTAAATTTATGACATTTTCAAATCTAACTCCCAACGTAGGTATCCTATTTACGGACCGTATATCCCTACATGTCATATTTGGTACCGAAAAGCTTCCTGTTACGTAAAAACAGTGGTTCGGGGGCTATTTTGCATTTTCACCCTCCGAACGCCTTTTTTCGACTAAATTTATGACATTTTCAAATCTAACTCCCAACGTATGTGTCCTATTTATGTATCGTATGTCCCTACATGTCACATTTGGCACCAGGAAGCTTCCCATTACGAAAAAACAGTGGGTTGGGGGCTGTTTTGCATTTTTGCGTCCCAAACGTCTTTTTTCGACTAATTTTATGACATTTTCAACTCTAACTCCCAACCTATGTGTCCTATTTACATACCGTCTATCCCTACATGTCACATTTGGCATCGGGAAACTTCCCGTTACATAAAAACAGTGGC